AAGAATTGAATATTTAGAGCAAAGAAAAAACAACTGAATTGATTGAAAACAACAGGGTTATTACCAAGACAGTAGAAGTGATTGAATAATTTTCTGTTTCACACAGAGACCTGGTTTCTCTCTGTCTGAATACTTAGAGCTAAAACAACGCGGAGAAGACAAAAAGTGTATTTATTGTCTTTGGAAGATTGTTATTCACTTTGAAGAAGTTTGATGAGATAGAATGGCCCCTATCAGCAAGGTGTGCAATTTGATTGGACACTAGTAACTAGTGTGATGTGTCTAGTGTCTAACTGCAGGAGGCACTGGGTGATGCGAGTTCGAATCTCAGAAGAGACATGAGTTGTTCTTTCAAGGTTGCAGATACGCCTTGCTGACTGACTGGTGAGTGTCAACTAGCACGAAAACTAGGTCCAAGGCTTCCTCTGTCCGATTACCTCCAACCATATAATATCACCAAAGGTGTTCAAAATTATCATACTTCTTTGTTCACCAAACAGTCTTTTGAATTTTTAATTAGCATCCTTCAATGAATTACAGAATCATTGAAATTTGTAATTCATCTGCTATGCTGTTTGACATACAAATCTTGTGGCTCTCCAGAAATTTGAACGTCCTAGATTCAATTCCTAGTGATTTTATTGGTGTGGAGCGTTGAAATATCTCAACCTAGAAAGAGACAGCTGTCTAGTGCTCTTTTGTTTCAAATTATTCTCTAACTGAAGGTCAGTCAGAATGTTCCAATCTATACCGAAAATAATCAGAATCCTTGCAAAAGGGAAAAAATGCTAATTACTATCAGTATTGTCACTGAAATTAAACAAGAATGGGGTTGCTAGCCTCATTACTGGCTTAGTGAGGTAAAGGAGTGCCTCGTCGGCCGGGGATCGAACTCCGGACCATGTGAGGCGTGGTTGGCGAGCATTCTACCGCTGTGCCACCACCGACACACTTCAGATTAGCCGTAATCACTTTAAACGCCTATGACGTAAGACATAAACATTTTTAACACATTGAAAAAACAAGAAATAATTGATAATTCTTTTCGACTAGTTTATCCAACCACCCACGCACCCACTCATGAACAACACACACATGCCCACACATATACAGACTTACACTTAAACTGATATATATGTACACATATGGATTGGTAATCACACTATGACCTGCATCACTATGGTAAATCTCTATGATGGCATAGAAATACACAGAGCAAAAAAACAAACGATAAAACACACACACACACACCAGGAATAACCTTGACTTTGAAAAACACTGTTTATAGATTTTAAAAATAACCTTATAACTGGAAAAAGAAAACAATATAAACAGATAGACAGGGGCAGTGAGAATGAAAGCGGGTGAATCATCAGTAGCGTGGCCTTTTGTATTGTTTAAACAATATTTTTAATGGTTGTGATATTGAGTGATGACTGTGAAGGTGAAATAATTATCTGCGTTGCGGTAGCTCTCGAACCATAAGCATCAAAATTATTCGTCTGAGACGCCACTGGTCCTTCCAGGTAAAAGACTCAACTATGCCAACTAGGTGATCGTTTCCCTACAATCACTACAGATAATACCCAGACATTGTCTGAATGAGTGATGCACAACCTTCCACATATCATTAAACTAACTGCCAAACTAGGGCGGCTATGGAGTATACTACTGACAAGATTCTGTAAGTAGCATATTCTGTGTGTGTGATGTCTTCTGTAGGAATACTGAATACTGCAGAGTGACTTATTCAACGGAAAAAAGGAAAAAATGAAAGATCCGCGTGTGAAACAACATAGAGTGTACAACACCACGAAGAACTTGTGAACTGAAAATGGAGATTTCAGCGTGTTAAGGGTTTCTGTATTTTGTGCCTAACTTGTATGTCATTTCGCCAAATAAAAAATTTAGCCAGCAAATACTACTGTGTATTAGATAGTTGGAGGCAATCGGCCACAGGAAGCCCAGCCTTGGGCCTAGGTTTCGTGCTAGTTGGCACTCACCAGTCAGTCAGCAAGGCGTATCTGCAACTGCCTTGAAGGAACTCATGTCCCTTCTGGCTTCCTGTGGTCGATTGCCTCCAACTAATATCTAATATCATCAAATCAATGTGCACCGTAATGGCGAGCTACCTAGTGGAATGGTGGCCACACTGAAAACCTGTCTGATAGAATTCAGTGTGCACCAAAGAAAGAACTAGACACGTCGCACGAGTTACTAGTGTCCAATCAAAATACTACCGTGTATTGTGCTGTTAGAGATCTACGCCTATTAATCCTAATCATACAGAGTTATAAGAAGAATGGTAAGTTTTTATTGAGTAATTTAAAGACACATGGTCATTAGTACTCTTTTGGTATTTCAAATCATAGTTACCAATGAGGTAATGGAGGCTATTGTTGCATTCATCTTCGAGATCTGTGTTGCAGAAACACACACAAACACTCGTTATCTACAGACAAACATTAGAATAAAGCATTCTATCAGAGTTTGGATTTATAGAGGTCTAACTGAATCCAGGAGTGTTTTGTCGGAGTCTGGGACTCTCCAAAAATGCATACTAAAGACCATAGTGGGTGGGGGGGGGAGAAATTCGAATCCAGGACTTTCATGACACCAGGTTAGCAGGTTTGCCACTCCTCGAAATAATAAGTGAATCTCAACTACTCTTAATTCGAGATATAACAGTGTCATCATTCAATGACATCCTTGAGTATCCCCCTCCACATCTAACTTCTCAGATGAAATCTAGGAAGTCTAACTCATGGTCATATATACACGATGGCTCACTAGTTCGCCTCCTAACCTAAAAATTCTGGGTCTGACGCCTCATGAGGCTATGGAGTCAGAAATATGGAAAAGGCTCAAACTAATACGGAACACGTGCCAGGTACCTCCTGGTTTGCAATGGTTTTCTAGCTGATATCACTTTATGATGAAATCGGACTTGACGATAATCTGTTCTGAACTGTAACACATTCATTCATTCACTCAACAACCAATTGCAATTGTCACAGCTTTTGTGTGAAGCCTAATCATACTACCTGGTCGCTGACACCTAGGTAGGTAGAGTGGGTTTCGACTCCACGACCAACTGGTTGGAGGTCGAGTGTGCCTAAACCAATGAGCCATAACTCCACATTCGACTCTGTGATATAGTAAATGCATGAGTTATGATGGAGAAGATTTGTAGCTCATGTGGATGATTTTGATGTGGTTGTGTTCTTTGAGCTGGATAGTTAATTTGCGAAGCTTTCATCACCCTACTAGGCAACATCTTCAGCGCATACTTCAATTTGCTGTCAGTCCTTTTCTCTGTTAATTCGAGACCGTAAAAACTCTCTGCATCAACAGTCTGTCTTCTTGTCTTCCTACGTCGCGGGTTCAGAGGTATCGTATCTGCTAATGAATAGGCATAGTTTCCTTTATGTCATTTTTACATGTCTATTTGTATTTCTCTCACCCCCCCACACTTATTGATTTAAGACCTAGTTTTCTCTCACCCTACTTATAACCTTTGAAATCCTATTGGTTGTTCACACCGTCTTAATTTATCAATGGCATTAGTGCTTCTCAATGTCATATGTATACACAAGCGCTGTCAACCCCTTTTTCGACTGTCGTTTTGAGACAGTAAGAGCTCTCTTACCAACGTCCCGTCTTCTCTTCTCTATCTTTTCGCAGCCCGGCGGTGTGTCATTGTTATTGCTGGGTTGATTTTTGACGTGCGACTAGGACAGATTAGCCAGCGTATTAAGTACTAACTATTAATCGCTCATCTTCTCCTAGATCGTCGTTCCGGTCATAGTAATATCGTGTAGTAGGAAGTTCTCGTTCGTTAGCGCAAACTATCTAGTGTGTGTGTGTGTTAAAGGTCCATAACAGACGCCTACACCTCAACATTGACAGATAGATGTTAAAACAATTAGTTCCCTTTATGAATTCAGGCGAAGCAATAAGAAGACGTAATTTGTCTGAATCGTGTGTAATGTGTATTTGCGCAACACTCATTTCGAACAATCTGATCCATCACACACAGACTTGTCATAGCAACATATATGAAATTAATAAAGAGTTAAGAGGTGAGAAAATAGACTACTTAGGTCAAGTTAAAAGGCCGCCATATTGAAGGTCAAAATAACAATGAAGATCACTAAACCAAATAATAGAGGTAATAGTACATCTACCCTGGCTCGCGTCAAAACAAAGTTTACCAAGGAAGGTTTAGTATGATGATGACGAATTGTTGCTTTGAGCGCATAAAGGTGATTTAAACTTCCTAATTGCCAACTAGGTCTTCCACAAACTTCAGGATACGCCCTCCTCCAAACACGTTTTATGGACAGATAGGTTTAAAAGATGTGTTAACGTCAATTTTATGTCCTGTCTCCGCTGTTATATGTTTCGCAATAGAGGAGCTAGGTCTCCTGTTCTCACCATTAGTGGGTTCTGGGGATTCTATTTGCTTCTGAAGCCAGTCCTTACTTGCAGAGATCGATGAGTCCTCCCTATGTTGTATGTGTGTCCACATGTACATTCAAATTGGTAAATACAGTGGGATGTGACGTCATTTTTCGCATGTTCAAAGGGCTTAGATAGATAGATATATTGGCTTCACATTCTCAATTATAATTATGATATTAGCTGCATAAAAAGTCTTTTTAACCACAGCCGCGTTCAGTCTTTTCTCACCTCTTACCTCTTTATTAATTTCATATATATACAGTCCTATGACAAGTCCGTCCGTGTGTGATGGATCAGATTGTTCGAAATGAGTGTTGCACGCGCAAATACACATTACACACACGATTCAGACAAATTACGTCTTCTTATTGCTTTATCTAGATAGATGTAAGGTTTCACAACAACAACAACTTTACTCTAACTAAATGACATTAAAAATAAACAATAAACACTAACAATAATAACAAAAAATAGATAAACAGATGAAGATAAATATCTTCATGAAGACAACAACAATAACAATAACAACAACTTACAATTTATGAAGTGTGTAGTATAGTAAGACACATGTTGGATTCTTGATGATAGGCGTTGGGGGTGAGGGGTGATTGGGTTTGTAGAAGTAAAAAATAGGATACTCGATACACACAACGAACAGATATTGAAGTTGGTCGAAAACAGTAGAAAACAGGTAAATGTCTGCCTGTGTGTGTGTGTATGGAGTAGCAGTAACGGTAGTAGCTTTGACTCTATTTTTGTATGTATGCATGTGTGTTTGTGTACACTGGTCACTGGAATTTCACAGTAATGATAATAATCAACTTGATAGAATTGGTACAACTGTTGGAGACGATGTACGGATATTATCATCGTCATGTGACTCCATATTGTTCGCTACACCAACACTACTAGTTGTAGTTGCTTGTGTACTACTCGTACTGCTATTACCACTAACACTATCAATATTACTACTATTACTAGTAGGAGTAGTAGTCGTTGCTGTTGTTGTTGTTGTGTGAGTGGCAGTTGTCGTGGCAGTAGAACCTGGCGATAAAGTGACACTACTCGTAGAAGAGGCAGTACTGTTAGCGATTGTAGATGACGAAGTGATCACAGTATTGTTATTATTATCATTGCTATTATCACCATTATTATTGTCACTGCTATTCGAAGTAATTCCACTACTAGTGTTATGATTCGTCATATCATTTGAAGATTGTGTTTTCACAGAGGTATTAACACTGGCGTTACTGTTGGTCTTATTGCTGTTGTTGTTGTTGGTCGTGGTGTGGTGTTGGTGCTGGTAATAGTGATGATGGTTGGACTTCCCACTCGCTGAATACGATAAGGATGATAATGATGGTAGCATCGTAGTCGTCGTTGTTGTTGACATCGTCGCCGGCAAACCATATTCATGTACAATACGTAATAATTCTTCACCTTTTGATGCGGGTAGAATTTCACTTGTATCACGTAACACTGTCACTGGACGATTATCATAACATTCAATCAGGATATGTTTAATAACATGATTTGGAATGTTCTGTTAATACACGCAAATGTGTGTGTGTGTTTGCGTAGGCGTAGGCGTATACATGTCCAATAATCCCGTTTGTGATTGATACAAGTCAATTGAAACAGCGGGAAAAAGAAATAGAAAATATGAGAGAAAAAAAGGAACAAATAACTAAAATTCAACAAACACATCCATTTTAATTTATTCAAATAAAAACTGAAAATGTGATTTGGGTGAGGGGTAGATGGGTGGGGGGGTGAATAGCAGTCGAATCCCTAGTGCGCGCATTTCGTACTATTTGAGACTCATCAACTGGATGCACTTGAAATCCCTACTTGGGTCACGAGAGCGACTTATTATGTAGCAGTGGTAAGTGATTCGTTTCCATTCACCAAGTAAGAAAACATGGTGCGTATAAAAAATGAGTGTCTTCTTACTAAAACATAATAGACATTTAATGATATAAGTGGCGAAAGACTGGAAGGAGGAGGGGCTGCCGCTCGAGTAAAACATTTACAGTTTTTCAAGTTTGGGTTATTGAGGATTTGTTTGAATTTGAGTTAGATAAACAACTGATATCAGTTGCCATACCAACCAGTGAAAGATAGCAACGAGTATTGGATACTTGTTTTGTTCCACTTTGAGACCAGTGAGCAGTACACAAGCATGACTCCAAAGGCAATCGAATCCCAGAACCCTTGAGTTACGAGGCAAGTTTGTTGATGAATCATCTACTGGGACGGAATTCACTGGCTCGTGAATTCTAACTTCTTTCAACCCAAGATAAATGTATACCGCTACGGCCACGGAATATTGTCGGTGGGTACCTATCCTCACACCCAACATGGTAGGACCCACTAGTTACAGCTTCTAACTAGAACTTCAGCCCATAGTTTGTTATCCATGAGCAGAAGACTAACATTATTCGATTTAAATCTCAACAGATGCTTTCTATTGGTTACAGGAATTTATTATGAGCTGACTGACATCATTTAGAGAACCATTAGAAAACCACCAAGGAGTACTGGACAGCCAGCTGTTTCGTCAGCCTGGTTTGGGACTCTTCAGCAGTACGCACCCACCACCGACAGGGTTCGAACCCAGGACCTTCTGGCTACAAGGCGAGCTAGCTAGTAGACCATTAAGCCATTGGGACCCGATCCAATGGCCAGTCCATGAATTCTAACTTCTGCCAATTCACGAAATAGTGCAACCGCTAGCCAATGTCTTCGGCGAGTATTCATCCTCACACCCAACCTGCTGCACCCTACTTGTCATGACTTCCCACTAGAACCTCAGGTTTAAGCTATCCAGTACTCCCAGGTGGTTTTCCAATGGTTCTCTAACTGATGTCAGCTCATGATGAAATCCTATAACCAATCGATCAAATCCCTACAAACCAATACTTGACTTGAAGATGCTGTCTATGATTACTTTTTCTTTGTCTACAGTATATGACCTCTGTTAGGATGTACCTATTAACCCTAATGTCATGATGGATGCAATCAATCAGATATCGATTATTTATGGTTTAAATTTCTGTGGATGTGAAACCAATATATATTTACTGTGTATTGGGAAGAAATAATAAAGTTGTTGTCACAGTTGTCTCAGTCGAATCTGACTTCTGTGTCGACCTCCTTTGGAGAAGAGGGGAGGGAATATTTCTGAGTGATTAGTTGGCTACAGTATCGTAACTGAAGGCTCATTCTAGTCGAGTTAGACAACAACCAACAAATCACACGAAAACACTCCGTATTCAAGTCAGTGCCACTGCAACAGCCTCCTGTAACCAAATGCGACTGTAGTCCTTCACATTTTAAATGTGATTCACAGCTCTGTACATGTGCGTACTACAGGAACTTGTACACAAAGAGTAATATGTTGCTGCGTGCATCGATGATTCAATCCCCGGATGCTGCACTCCTAAATCTCGCTAAGCTGGTAAGTAAGATCGGTAAAGAGGGTAGGTTGGGCATGAGGCTAGCAACCTCACCCCATAAAAATACACACCACTACTACCGAAGCATCACAGCTCTAGCTTGAAACCCTATGTTCCACTACAATTGTTAATCAATAAATAAATGGTGTTATTAATCTCTAAGCTAAGCCGATTTAACAATCTTTCTAGAAAGCATCTTCAGCGATAACTGTACTGTGAAATGATAATTGGGAATTCCGCATCATTCGCATCAGGAGAGAGAGAGAAAGAGACAGCGAGTTAAGCCATTCACGAAGAATTCCCGAAACGTCTCACTTGCAACTGAAGTTAATACTGAAGAGACATTATCTACAAGGACACTGAAAGCTTAACAATTGAAAACTGACCTTTCAGATCATAGAACACAAAAACACATTAATAAAATCCACCTGAACTACATATCTTCTCCATTATTTCGATATTTAATTTCGTCAAATAAATAAACGCAAGTGCCAACAAAATTTTCAAAACATTTATATGTATTTTCTATAGTTGGTTTGTAAGGATTAGTTCTGTTTTTACGAGTTGATCACGGATTGATATCACAGTTAGAGAACCATTGAAAACCAGCACTGGAGTACTGGACAGCTGATTCTTCAGCCTAATTTAGGAATCATCGGCAGTACGCACCCACACCTACAGGGGTTCGAACCCGGGGCCTTCTGGTTACAAGGCTAGCGAGCTCGTAGACGTTTCAGTAACTGGTTGGTGGTTGCGCTAAATCACGAATTGGTAGAAGTTAGAATTCATGGGCTGGCCATTGAATCGGCTCCCAGTGGCTGAATGGTATACGAGCTTGTCTTTAAACGCAAGCTTTGTTTATCGAGTCAACTGCAAACATGTGTAATACGGGTAATTTGGCACCTGTCCACGCAGACATCTGGAAAATTCTACTACCCCAACGACGACAAATAGGAGAGAACAAAAAAACTATAAAACTCAATTTTTGAAGTCGTGTGATTATAACTGATATGATTGTGAACAAATAATAGTACTGTTTCACTGTGTGATATATCTAATAAACTAACTAATATGGAGCTAGGAACTAATGCCTGGAGACTCTTATCAACAACGGCCTAGATGCATATACTGTGAGAGAATTTCCAGATCTATACAGCCGCATTATTCACTCTGTCAATATTCGTCCCTTCTACAATCTGACAGTGGGGTCTAAAACCCACGTCTCATTATTTCCGAGACTCTTGGCCCAGTGGCTTTATAGGCAACACTTCGATGTTTGAGACGATGTGTAATGAATTGGAGTCTCACTGAAAACACCATCGGCCATTTAGAATGCAGATACATTCAGCTGAAGAGTAGCGAAGATGAAAAGCACAATCTTGGATTTCAATGGTAACCAACACATCAGCTAAATCTGCTTCAATTCCAATTTGTTGGTTCTTCATGCATATCTCGAAATTACAGCATTCATCCCACTTCTGATGACGTTACGATTTTTAGTCAGTACAAGTGACTATTGATTAGCACAACTTCAGGTACATGAGAGGTTTAGCAACAGGAAACTTTGGCTGACAACAGACTAACCAAGAATTTATTGCTCGACAAATACGCCGAAGAAAAGGGAGATGGTTCGGACACACGCTGAAGAGACCGTAGAGAGACAACATGCACGCCAGGCCATCATTCGAGTGGAACCTGAATGGGAAGTGGAGAGTTAGGAGTCGAAGGAAGACGTGGAGGACATCAAGTGTGGAGGGCAGTCGTGAGACCAGCTGAAGAGGGCTGCAAAGAACAGGATGAAAAGGGGGATCTACTATCGAAGCCCTATGCATTCCACTCGGAACCTAAAGGAACAATAATGATAATGATATATACAGACATTGAAAGCCCTAACATGTAGTTCAGAAAACGAATCTTGAAGTCTGCCCACCATCACAAGCGGTAAAGATATGAAGATATTAACAGAGATACAGAAATCAGGCTTTTGATATAATTGTGTTCCATACATTTATTCCCCTTAATGAATTTGAACAAAGTAAGAACTACAGTTTTTGGAAGGACAGAAACAAGGGCATATCTACGATTTTCTGAACATGTACCAAAAAGCTTACGTCTAAAGGGAACAAATGCTTTAAACAGTGCCATCGCCAGGTACCTCCCCGACACGACGTCGAAAAGTCGTCTAAAATTATCAATAGGCAAAAGAGCTAAATTCTCCTTAAGTTTGCTGAAGCTATTTCCATCGAGCGCCTGAAACCTGATTTGTGCGTTCAGAAAGAAACAATTATCAATATTTCTTTATCCTGGTAACTGGATATTTTTCATCCCTCTTTCACCTGGAAGCATAATGCTGAAAAGTTTCCGTTGTGTATGATTGTTATTGTTCGGAATAGTATTTAATATTGCATATATATATAATTACTGTATACATGTATTGATCGATTGATTTTTGTTTAAAATGAACTCTGTGCAAGTTTGTTAAAATTGTTTTTGTAGATATATTAAATAATGTCTTTGCCCTGTAAGCAGCTGACGAGAAGGCAACGAAATAAAAGATGGTACCACTTTATTCTGCTATAATTGTGTTCCGAATCGAATAGCTAATTTTTACTTGTGAAGCTTTCCATTATCCTGCTAGTCAATACAAAGCTGGTGTGGTGTTGAAGATATTGTCCAGACGGATAATGAAACGTAAGCAATTAAACCAACCAACCAGCCAACCATCCAGGTTAGAGAATCCACCCATTATTATTTCATTACAATAGGCTTGTTAATAAGGAAGAGAGACAGTTTGAGAGAGAGAGATTAAGTTTACTAGACAAAAAAGGTATTCGAAATCGATTTCCAATAAGTAGAAAGATAATAAAATTAAATAGAACAGAATATGTGGTAAGGTAATTAACTGTAATATTAGCAGATGTTGTGTGTGTGTAAGTCAAAAGGGTTGATATACATACACACGTAAATAAAATACTTAAGAGATGAGTTTTTGTGCAGGTAGGTTAGACAGACAGACAGATAGACAGAGACATAGATACACAGACAGACAAACACAGACACAAACCGATGAAACCGTTAGTTATAT